TATGGATGAGGACAATGGGGAGAGGGGAAAAGGGTGGGGTGGGAACCTGGTGGAGGAGAGCAATGGTGGGGGGGGGGGGGGGGAAGGAACATTTGTAATAATATGAACAATAAAAACTTATAAAAAAAAAAAGATGTTCCATCACAGATGGCAGTGTTCTACCATGTAACTGTGATAACAACAAAAATTTATTAAATGATAAATATTAAAAAAATAAATAAATAAATAAATAAATAAATATCATAAATACACCTTTAAAATCTGGAGGGTGTGAGGGGGGAAGAAAAAGAAAAAGAAAATACAGGACAAGCAAAAAAAAAAAAAAAAAGTGAATACCTAAGCTCAGGTTATGCTTAAAAAGAGAAAAACTTAAGCTCCACCTCTTGATAAGAGGAGTATTAAAAACTTTAGGGGAATCAGGAAGAAAACTTAGGGATGGAAATTCTATACCCTCCAAATCATTATATGCGCATTTGAGAGTTTATTATGCCTGATTCTTCTCATCCTCTTAAAGTTTGTTCACGGTTTTCCATTGCCTGCTCCCTCAGACAGAGGCTAATGTCATCAGAGTGTAATTCAAAGCATTCTGAGATCTTGCACTACTTTCCAGCTTTTTCTCTCAGGGCCTCTTTCCCTTTCCTATGGATCAACAGAATGGAGCCATTCCTTATTTCCCAAATGCCGTTTGCTTCTTGTTCCTTCTCCCTCTAACACCCTTTTCTATCATCTCAATAGGCTCAAATCCTGCCCACCTGCTAAGTATATGCTCAAAAGCCATTTCTTCCAAGAAACAGCCCCTAACCATCTCAGCCAGAATTAAGATCTTCCTCTTCTAGATTTCAAGAGAACATCATCAGCACTCCTCTCAGAGCATGGCATTGTCATCCATGTACTGTTTCAATGATCTATATCACATGTGTCAAACACAAGGCCCGCAGGCCAAATCCGTCCCGCCAGGCCTTGCAATGTGGCCCACACCGCGCTGTCATCACTGCACTCCGCTGCGTTTCCATCACAATGACAGTTTATGACTGTTCAGTAAACCATTCGGCCCACGATTTAGGCTGGATTTTAGATTTTGGCCCCTTCTCTGATTGAGTTCGACACCCCTAATCTATATGAATGTCATTTCCTCCTGTTGGATCTGCAGCTCTTTGATGGCATGGGTCACATTCACATCAGTCTCTTTGTTCCCCTTTGGCACCTAACCTTCATCTAGAAGTCCCATAAGTATCTGTCCAGTTTATTTGCCTCATGAGGACACAGATTATAGAAGAAAAAAAAAAAAAGGTGCAATCTTTGGTGTTTTTCTTTATGATAAAGTGATTTAGAAAAATGTAAAAAGGCAAGACATTGTGGATGTTTGGAGAATGGGTTGTATCAGAATAAGAATAGATGTGGCCAGGTTAGTTTGAGCTTACTGCCATTGACTCAATGAGACATCGTGGAAATCTGGACTAAGAAGGTGTCAGTGGAGATGTGAGATATGGAGAGACTGAAGGCATGCTTTTAAACCAAAACTGGTACAGGAAGTACTTTTGGATTGGATGGGAAACAATTGTTAAGGATGACTTCCTAGTGATTGGTCTTGGTAACTGTGGAGCTGGTGGCCCCATTTCCTGCAGAAGGACCATGTGGGGCACTCACAGATGCTGAGATGCCCTTGGGGAAACCTAATGGTGAGGTCAAGGGGCAGTTGGGTCACTTAGATACACAAGTCTGGAGATCAGAGATGACACAAGGGTTGGAGATACAGGTTTGAGGGTTCTCGGCATATAGATGATTTTGAAGGGGTGAGAAAGATGAGATCCCCTAGAATGAGTGGAGGTGGAGAAGACTCCAAGCCTACATCCCAGGAACTGAAATGTCTAGAGAAATGTTTGGGGACAACAAGGGAAGAAGCCTGAGAAGGAACCGCTGAGGCAGTGGAGGCCAAGCAGGCAGGTGTGTGCTGCCCATGCAGAGGAGGGATCGGATCTCAGGAGGGCCTGGGCTATCTGTGCTGATTAGTGTTGGAACACCAATCAGAATGAAGACACAGAAGTGCTCTTCGGATATGGCAGGAAGGCTGGCAGTGGCAGGTGTTGTTCAGTGGCATGAAGAACACAGAAGAGTGGACTGATGCATGAATGGAAGATGAAGGACTTGAATATTTGGGTTTACTATTCACTCGCTGGGTAAGACCCTTCGGACCGCCCCTGCCTGGCCTCCTGAGCCTCTCACAAATGGGTTCACTTCAGCCTCAAGCCTGCCTTAACTGCACTCACTGACAGTCTCAACTTGGATGTTTTGTCAGCAGCATCCTAACTGGCCTCCCAAGCCCCGCTTTGCTCCTGGCAGCCAGAACCACCTTCTAAAATCCCTACATATGATCATGTCACCCTCGTGTTTAAAAACTTTCACTGGCTACCTATTCTCATGGGGATAAAGTCCACATCTCTTGCCCATGTTTTTAGGTTATGTGACTCCTGCCTGTCTCTCAGCCAAGTCTTCCTTCCACCCTCACCCCCCTCCCCACCATCCCCCATTCTTTTTCTGGTCTGCACTCCAGCCACTTCTTCTCACTGTCATCTTTATTTTCTCAGCTCTGCCCTGTTCTCTTAGGACACCATGTTCGAGCCTGAAGTCTCCGCTTCACTATCATTTCCCTAGAGAGGCATCCCTTGACCTCTTCGCCAGCTCAAGCCCCTGACCCTCTGCACTTTCCCCATCTTATGAGACAGCATTTCTTTTTTCCGACATTAGCACCAAATTGTGCTGATGGTTTACAGCTCTTTCTCAGCCCGTGGCACCGAGAAGGTGGTCCCAAATGTCCCTCCAATGGCCTAACGAAACCAACTTTTCATTTCCATGGAAATTTCCACCAGACTCTTTCTTAAACAGGAAATCATCCTAAAATGTTTTCAGAGTATTTAATTTAAGCAATGAAAGCTAATTTGGACATTTTAGAAAGGCTTTTAAAAAACAAGTCAATCATATTTCGGGAGGCAAGACCTCTAGACCCGATATGCTAAATCATTGCGACTCACAGACCGGAGGCAATGCTTTCATTAGAGGTTGTTTGTTCATCCATTTAATGAGTCACCTTTCGATTGAGGCAGAGGTGAGTTACGTAAGCCCTGCTTCTATGCAAGCAATTGCTTATACATATATTAATTGCCTGCTTTCAATTCAGGCACTATTTTATAAAAGGAAATCCCAGAGGAGAGAAGGTAGGAGTTTAACAGCCATCCATTCTTTGCAACACTTCAGAAAGCACATGGAAATGAACCCTGCAACAAGCCATCAGCAGGGCATTCATTCATAAACTTAATAGATTTCATTTTGTGACTAGGAGCTAGAGTCACAGGCTTCCACCTCCAGCCACCTGCAAGACATCTCCGCAGGCAGGTTCCGATGGCACCTCCAGTTGTGCGAGTCCCTTTCTGAATACAGGATGGTCCCTTGCAGAAACCTGCCTTCCTCCATCCCAGCACACAGGGTGCAAGTCTCAGCATCTTCTTGGCCTCCTCAAGAGCCACCTCCTTCCCCCTGCCAAGGCTGCTACATTCTCTGGATTGAACCTCAATCTTAGAGGATCTACCCCAACCCCTTCTTAACCCATTAACTCTCCTGAGGCCTCCCATCTCGCACTCCCACCTCCAAGTTCCCCAACATAAGGCCTCCCCCTCAGCTATGGGGACAGAGCACCAAAAACACAGATATGATCTGTCACTCCCTCAAAGCAAGCAAACAAAGCAAAAAACCCAAATGTTTCCTCCTAGTCATAGCAACTAATATTTACTGAGCACCTACTGTGTGCAAAAATCTAACTCCCTGCCAAGATCTGGCCCTGCCTGTCTCCTCTGCTTCATCTGGGCTGCCTGGTGCCACTCTCAACAGCCTTTGTGTTCCAAAAACACATGGCAAGCAGCTCTGTTCTACAGTGTTCTCTCCTGGTCCCAGCTTGCTTGACTCCTTTTGGCATCTGACTCAGAGAAGCTTTCTCTGATTGCCCATAGTTGCAGCACTTGTTATTATTTTATTTGTTCCCTTCATTCAGCTCTCTGGGTAGAATGTAGCCTCCCTCAAGACAAGGACCATGTCCAGTTTGTTCACCAATGAACTCCAAAAGTAGCATAGAGTCAGGCACTTAATAAGTAGCATAGAGTCAGGCACAGGTAAATAAACAGTGCTCAAAGGAATGAATGAATCGCTTCTTGGCCTTTTGGCTAAGATCAAGTGTAGAAGGAATGAATGAAATCTTCTTGGGGAGTCCTCTGGAAATCATCCTATCATCAGTGTCCAGCGCTCTTGTCTCTAATGCCCTTACAGCATCCAGATCAGAGAGTGTTAACATCTTTGTTCACAATTTCCATGAAGTCTTCAGGCTCTTGCTTTTGGACCTCCTACTATGTGGTGAAAACCATGCTATGGGCTTAAAAAGCATCATCTCCATTATTCTCAGCAGCTACCGCAGGAAGTAAGCCCTCTTTTCTAGGGCTGCATTATGACATTTGTGGGCTCTAGATACATTGGCCTTCATGGGCCTTTCTTTCATAAAGAAATATTAAAAATTATATATTATACTGCATTAGTTCTTCATACCAATTATACATATACTAATGTAATCCAGGATGGATTCATTGATATAATAGTTATTGTTCTTCTCATTAAACATTTTCGTGGGCCTTAGGCCCTGTATCTGATAAGTCAGCCCTGCTATGGGGCCAGTTGTCCGATGAGGAAACGGATGATTCCAGGACTAAAAGTCACAGGGGAGAAGTGGAGGGGACGCGAACCCACGCCAAGCAAGATTCTAGTAAAAAAAACTCCTAACAGGCTGTGCTCCAGGGTCCCAAAGGAAGTTCCCTAGGCCAGCACCCACCCAGCTTCCAGGCCCTCAGCACCGGGATCAGAGAGCCTGGGGCAATTCACGGTGCCGCCCCGCCCCTCCCTCCGGCCCCGCCCCTTCCGCCTTCCTCTTGGGCGGAGGCGCACGGCCGCGGGAAGCCGGGCCGCGGGGCCGCGCGTGCGCTCTCCCGCCCTGTCGTGCGCATGCGCCTTAGCCGCTCGCTCGCTCCCGGGAGAGGATGGCGGGGGCCGCGCCGGGCGCCATCATGGAGGAGGAGTACTTCGTGAACGCGGCCGAGCGGGGCGACGAGGCGGAAGGCGGCCAGGTGAGGGGGCACCGGGCGGCCCGCCGCCGCGTCGGCCCCGCGGCCACCTTGTGGTGCAAGCACAGCGCGCCGCCCTGCCGTCGCCTTCACCCCGGCGGCTGGCCCGCCCCTCAGCCCCGCCCGCCAGGCACGCACAGCGACCTGCAGGGCGGGGGCAGGAGCGGCGCCCAGCCGTGACCCGAGGTGACCCCAGGTCTCTTCACTCCATTTCTCTGTGTCACACTGCCGGCCGCCCACGTGGTCTCGATGGGCCGAACCGAGTGCGGTGGCTTCGGCAGCTCCTGCCCTGAGGTTTGCACGTGGCGCCTTCGAGGCCCGGAGAGATGGGCCAGGGCCTCGCCCAATCGGTAGCCCTGGGCGCTGCCGGAGGCAGGCAGAGCTGGGCTGCGCCCCACTGACCCGCAGGGTCCCAGTGCCGCCCCACCCACTGGGCTCGCAAGGAGAGGCGTGGGCCAGCCCAGCTCTGCGCTGTTTTCCAGCGGGCACCGCCGAACCTGCTCAGACGAGGGGGAGAAGGCCAGGAAAGGTGAAGGGATGGCATGAGCCGAGTTTTGGCAGCTCTTGCAAGGTCCATTTCTGTGACTCCTATCCTGTTCCCCGGGGACCGAGCTTGCTGCGGGGGAGGAGGCAGGGAGATGTGAAGTCCACATGGTGGAAGGAGCTAGAGCGACTGAAATGCGAACATTCAGTCTGGCTGCAGGTAGCCCATCCACAGGGGAGCCTGGCCAGGGGAGCAGCTGGAAGGTTGAGGGCATGCTGGAGCTTGGATGTGTCTTCCGAGTGAGACAGCCTCTGGCGGCTGATGAAGATAGCTGGCCCGGCCTGGTGACTGCGTTGGTTGGAGCGTCACCCAGCACACAGAAGCTTTTGGGTTTGATTCTGGTCAGGGCACATACTTAGGTTGAGGGTTTGATCCCATGTGAGGGTGTGAACAGGAGGCAACAGATCAGTGTTCCCCTCTCTAAAATCACTAATAATAAAAAATATTCTCAGGTGAGGGTGGCATCATGTGAAAGGTGATTGAGAGGCAGGAAGGAGGCCGAGCCCCGAGGGGAATGTTAGTCCTGTGACACCCACAGGATAGGGAGGGGAAGAGGGAGCGAAGGGCCACACAGGACTGACAAGCAGAGGTGGAACTGCGGGGAGTGGTGAAGGAGGAGGAATTGGGGAAGCCTAGGTTTGTGGGCTTAGGGTAATAGGCAAATATGGAGCCTTGTACTCAAATATGGGCTGTGGGGAAAAGGTGAGGTCAGTTTTGGATCAAGTGAGTTTAGAATAATGGTGAGGCATCGGAATGGACATGAGAACACACTGTTGAGTACTTGAGTCTGGAGAGAGAGAGATAGGTATCCATCCATCAATCGGTTGATTCAGGCTAAATTCTAGATTTACGGGCAGGGAGGGGGTATGGTCCGAGAGAAGATGTAGGAGGAGGGAAGGGGGTCCATAGTAGAAGCCCAAGACTCTCACATGAGGAGGAGCCTCAGGGTGAGCCCGGGCTTCCTTCACAGCCTTGTTTGTTTAAGGCTCCCCGTCAGCATGGTCTCAGAGGGCGGCTGACCTCTCTGCAAAGGCCACACGGTATTTTAGGCTGTGCAGGTCTACAACCACTCAGCTCTGCTCTGCTAAGGGGGAGGCAGCCATAGATACTGGTTTGTTAAAAAATGGGGTTGGCTGTTGTTCCAGTCAACTTTATTTACAAAAACGAGAGGAGGACTAGATTTGGCCCTGGGCCGTGTTCGCTAAGTTGGTCCAGCTCTAGCCCTACAGAGAGTCAGTTACACGGAGGTTGGTCTCTCCAACTAGTTTGTGAATGCCTTTGGTGGAAAGAGACACCTTGTCTTACATGTTCCTAGGTTCTTGTCTTACATGTTACATGTTCCTAGGTCATGGGTACATGGTTATCACATCATCATGCTGCTTTGTCCTTAGACTCAGGAGCGTGCTTATGGTGGTTTCCACGTAGAACGGGGACTAGCACCCGGCCAGGGCTGCTTATACGATGCAAGTCTATGGTCTTTACTTTCTAACAGCAGATTGGCGGTGTATGCCTGCAGGAATCATTGTTGCCTTAACCTGGTCAGAAAGCATGAAATGGCACATGCAGACTAATAGTAAGAACAGTAATAGCTAATGTCTACTGAACTCTCACTAATGTCAGGCACTGTGTGTGGCTTTTCCAAAAATTAGCTGTGCGATCCTCACCGCAGCCAAGTGGGAGTAGGTGCTGATGTTCTTTGTTTAACAGGGAAGGTTCCCAAAGACATGGCTTGTGTGGCCACATGCACAGGTTCTCCAGGATAGAGGCAAGACAGACCCCCTTGGTGTGATCTGGATCCCATTTTCTTAGCTACTCATTACTGTCCAGCCCACTCCCTGCGAGTGCCATGGAAGGCACATGTAATAATGTCCGTGTGTGGAGTAATTTGAAGGGGGCAGTGTGAGAGACTTGTGAGGTCACAGGAGCTTGTGTTAACGGAGAATGACCACCAGCAGGAGGAGGAGTATGCCGAGGGGGAGGACGACGCTGAGGTCCAGCAGGAGTGCCTCCACAAGTTCTCCACCCGGGACTACATAATGGAGCCCTCCATCTTCAACACCCTCAAGAGGTACAGATGTGAGAAGGGTTCTTAGTGCTGGGAGTAGGTGGCGGTAACTTAGAGAAAGTTTTGTAGTGGACCCGGATGGTGGCCTGTGAGAGTCAGAATGCTGCCATATTGGACAGGAAGGCCCCTCCTGGGGGTCCCCCACACACTGTGTAACCTTAGTAACCTGTCTCCCTTCTGGCTCCAGCTGTCATCCACCCATGCCGTCTGCCTTCATTTTAGTGAAAGCGTTTGTTGCTTTTTCCAGGTACTTTCAGGCAGGAGGGTCTCCGGAGAACGTGATCCAGCTCTTGTCAGAGAACTACACGGCCGTGGCCCAGACCGTCAACCTGCTGGCCGAGTGGCTCATTCAGACAGGTGCTCTGTGGGGCCCCTGTCCTGGCTGCTCATCACCTTCCCCCGCTTTTCAAAAGCCTTTGGTCACTGTGATGCTGATCAATTGGAAAGCTGCTTTGTCTTCCTGGCTTTTAAGACTTAAGTAAGACAGAACTGGACTTTCCTACCCTTACCTTTCACTCGGTGACTGAGGTTCACAGATAGCCCGCTACTGTGATTCTCATTGAACTGTTCCACAGTGTATGTGGGAGTGTCCTTCAGAGGTCCATGAGAGCAAGCAGCAGATGGTGGACAGGTTAGGGCTGAGTGTGATTGTGGCTTTCAGCGAATGTGATCAGAGTAGAGCCTCCTGTCAATCACGGAACTGGCTGCGACGACACAGTAAGACTTCCTGGAAACCAGTCTGTCGTCCTGTCACAGTGGTTGGACAGGTGTCTCTGCTGGCTGCACCTGCTCCTCCTCCTGCGCACAGTGTGTCTTTCTGTCCTCCTGTCTGGTGTGGTCATTTGTACTCATCCTTAGCGAAGTTTGACGGTATTGTCCTGTCCCTGTAGAAAGGGCAGAGCATCCTCGTGTTGTGCTCTGTGCTCCTTTTGGTTCTTAAGCATTGAATAGAATTATTAAATAGGAGTTTTTAAAAATTGGTCCCAAATCCTCAGTTGTCAGAAGCAGTTCTCTGATATTTGACTCACATAGAGACTGGAGCTGTCTGTTTTCTTTAAAGTAACACAATGAATTGAGAAGTTGTCGTTCTCTCTCAGGTGTTGAGCCTGTGCAGGTGCAGGAGACCGTGGAGAATCACTTGAAGAATTTGTTGATCAAACATTTTGACCCCCGCAAAGCAGACTCTATCTTTACTGAAGAAGGAGAGGTGAGGGCCTTGTTTCCTTTTCTCATCTGAGTTCCTAGGGCCTTTTGCTAATCCCATGTGCACAGTGGCATGTGGCATGTTATATGAGAAATGTAAGAGTTAGAGACTAAAATCAGGGTGTGAGACACAAGTTGCATCAAGTCACCATTGCCCTTTAAATGCCACACCTGGTCTAGTGGGGAGAGGCACTCAGGTACCAGCTCCAGAGAAAACGGCAGATTCCCACCTCCCATTCCATGCTACCTCCAGGCGCAGGCTGTAAGGTGGTGTGGCTCGGTCATTTAGGTCCTCCAAAAAGAAGATGCCAGGGCTGGATTAGTCTGTGGAAGGCCTGGGGGACACACCTTTGAGGAAGATGAGTAGTGGCTGGAGAAGGCTGCAGGAGCTGTGAGACAGGTCTGACCTCTGAAGACAAGAGGGAGGGCAATTAGGAGGGGTCTCAGACGATAGTGCAGTTGTCAGAAAGTTTCAGCAATGTCAGAGTCTGCAAAAGCCACAATCACCTGTCACAGGAGCCCTCAGAGCCTGGCCACCCTCGGTGTCTGGGAGCAGCCTGGGGGCAGCTCAGCCTTGGCACGGAGGGCTGGTGGATGCAGAGCGCAGCCCTGGCAGCCACGCAGTAGGAGAGCTGAGAGCCACATTCCCATGGCTGCTTCGCCAGTGATGGGCAAAGCCATCTGCGCTATTTCAGCTGCCTGGTCCCCTGTGCCCAGGCACAGCTGATTTAGCAGGAAGCAGTTGTGCGTGTGATGTTGTTCCCATGAGCGTCTAATGTGGGACTCTTGGAAGTCTCCAGGAAGTGCCTTGGCGGGTCCTGCGTGGAGTTGGCTCTCCCAGAAGCCGTGAGTGGGCGTTCGACTCTGCCATTCAGCTGCCCGTGAGGCGTCAGCCGCTCTGGGACTGTGGGGCCACGTCCAATGCTCCAGGGCTCTCCTCTGCAGCTGAAGATATCCGTGATTGTTTAGACGGCACAGTCTTCACTAAGCCAGTGCTGGGCCTCACCTCTCCCTGTCTGTCTGTCTGTCTGTGTCTGTCGGCAGACCCCAGCTTGGCTTGAACAAATGATTGCACATACCACATGGAGAGATCTTTTCTACAAACTGGCCGAAGCCCATCCAGACTGTTTGATGCTTAACTTCACTGTTAAGGTAGGAAGAGGGCCAGAGGTAGAGAAAGACAGCAGCGTTCATGAGCAATGGCTGTCTTTAAGGACGGTTAGTGTGTGTGTGTGTGGGGTGATCTTTCTCCTTTGAGAGACTGCATTTGCTTTGTTGGTAAAGGCCTTCATCGTTTTACTTGAGTAAGCCCTACATGAGAAAGAAAAGCACAGAATGTGTATGTGTGTTTGGGGGTCAACATTTCTGGGGTTTCTAGGATTTGGCAGAAACATAGAGTCTGTTGTGTTCCAAGGAGGCCTGTAGGACTGCCTGGTCTGTCTCTTCCATCTTATAAAGAAACAGAGCCAGGGGTTGGCTTGGGCACACACCTAGTTAGAGGCGGAGCAGGGTCAGAGGACGGTGTGTGACTGAGACCAGTGCTTGCTTGTCTCATCTCACCACGAACACTGATAACGAGGCAGCTTGCTGTGAATGTTTAGCCACTACTTGCTGACGCTCTGTTTGGCTGCTGCTTTTTGTGTTGTAGCTTATTTCTGACGCAGGGTACCAGGGGGAGATAACCAGTGTGTCCACAGCCTGCCAGCAGCTGGAGGTGTTCTCCAGAGTACTGCGCACCTCTCTGGCTACCATTTTGGATGGAGGAGAAGAAAACCTTGAAAAAAATCTTCCTGAGTTTGCTGTAAGTTCTCAGTTGGTCTCGGAGTGGAAGGAGGTGGCTGGGTCAAGCATTTCCCATGCCCCTTCCTTTAGGGGACCCCCGGCCAAAAGCTCCTTCCACAGTGACAGCTTCCTGCAGAGGACAGGGCCATCTGCCCTTTGCTCTGCGTTTGTCATTGCTACAGCGTGAAACCTCACACTCCCTCCCTGACTTTTCCAGAAAATGGTGTGCCACGGGGAGCACACGTACCTGTTTGCCCAGGCCATGATGTCCGTGCTGGCTCAGGAGGAGCAGGGTGGCTCCGCCGTGCGCAGGATCGCCCAGGAGGTCCAGCGCTTCGCCCAGGAGAAGTGAGCGGTGTCTGATCACCGGGTCCCGCTAGCTGCCCCAGTAGACCCCCCATTGCCCACTTCCACAGCCTTAGACTCCAGGCCCTCTTCCGGGTCACACACACAGCCTGCCTGCCGTTGACCCCCAAGCTAGAGAAGTCAGGGACACTTCAGGGCGCGGGAGGCCCTGCTTCCTCGGTGTTGCTTTGATGGATAATTTGTTAAGTACTGGATGATTGTTCAACTCACTGGGTTTTTGAACCTGTGTTTCATATTTTGGGATTTATCAGTTGTTAATAAGAATAGTTTTGAAAGTGGTTAGTCAGTAGTCTTAATTATTGAGGTTGTCCATATTGTATTGTAGAATAAGATTAGCTCTTATTGTCTTTATTTGCTACTGGTGGAGTCTTAACAAGGTATTTAGAAAGTGAGTGGTTCCTTCTAGAAAGTCTACAAGCTATGTTGAACTCTTCCTTCCCAGTAGCTCCAAGTGTTGTCTCCTGGGTCAGTTGGTGAGTGTACAGTGAAAGCAGGACTAGGGAAAAACAGGGGTCCCAGCCGTCAGAGCATTCACTGAGAAAAAGGGAGGGAGGGAGGGGTCATTAATGATGTAGTCTCCCTTACTGACGATGAGATACATGATTGTTTTCATCAAGAGGCCATGACGCCAGTCAGATCACGCTAGCACTAGGCACGGCTGCCTCCTACCCGAGGGCGTGCCAGGCCCTTGGGGCTATGCTGTCCAAAGGAGCCCTGAATCCGGCTGACATCACAGTCCTGTTCAAGATGTTTACGAGCATGGACCCGCCTCCTGTTGAGCTCGTAAGTGCCATGCTAATGGGGAAGGGCGATCTTGGGAAGTCTGTGTTTCTCTTACTGCTCTTAAGTCAATGAGGACCAATTCGCGTGGAAATGTTTCTATGCGTTTCCTGGTCCCCCATCCCACATTGAGCCCACACACCGAAGCAGCTGCTGGGTGTGCGCCACACAGCCCGCCACTGTGAGTGCAAGTGGACTTCCCTGCCATGTTTCCACGTCCCTTTCCACCTTGTCCTGTGTTTCCCCCAGATCCGGGTGCCAGCCTTCCTGGACCTGTTCATGCAGTCGCTCTTTAAACCCGGGGCCAGGATCAACCAGGACCACAAGCACAAGTACATCCACATCTTGGCATATGCGGCCAGCGTGGTGGAGACCTGGAAGAAGGTGCTGTCAGGGACACAAGTGACCCACCCTCCCGGCGATTATTTGGGGATTCTGGCTGCAAGAAATCATGAGCCCGTGTAAAGTCAGAAATGTCTTTTTTTACTGCTTATTCATAAAATAGTCGAAGTGCCAAAAACAGTCTCAAGAAAGTAGCATCTATACTACTTATTCAAACTATAGTTTGAAGTTTGTGGGACTGAAGAACACACACCAGTGTCTTTGGCTTTCAGTCTCTCGGTAACGTGTGCCTGGGGAGGGTGACCGTTAAGTAAATGGACCACTGACTTCAGACTAGGGAGGGGCCTTTGCAGGGAGAGGTGGCCCGTAGCAGATCACCCCACACTGGCCAGGCATGTGCTCCGGGGGACTCACCGACAGGGGTGGGGTGTTTTCAGAACAAGCGAGTGAGCATCAACAAGGATGAGCTGAAGTCGACGTCGAAGGCGGTCGAAACCGTTCACAATCTGTGTTGTAACGAGAACAAAGGAGCCTCTGAACTGGTGGCCGAGCTGAGCACACTCTACCAGTGCATCAGGTAAGCGACAGCCGGTGCTCACCTTCGTCCCTCTGGGAGTTCACTCAAAAAGCCTGCGGAACCTTCAGAAATGTTCGCTCGTTCATTTTCTCTTGTTTGAATGTATATAGAGAATTGTAAACTGAGTTACAAAAACTGATTTGGAGAGAAGGGTCTATTTACGGTAAAAGGAGACTCAACAATTATGCCAATTATATCAGTAAAAGTTCACTAGAAAAGCTTATAAATGGGTGTTCTCTTATGGCACTCGAGTCTTTCCCGTTAGCCTGTGCTATAGGGACAAGGAGGGGGTTTGCTAAATAACAGTGAACCTCACCCTGCCCCCCAGCTCCAGCAGGCTCCACGGATGCTCTCCTGTCAAGCAGGGAGGAGGTAAAGGAGCTGCGCACTGAGCGAGGGTTCTGCACTGCGTGTTGGTTGGCAGGGAACCGGCTCCTCTCTCACTGATGGTATCTCCCTTGCAGAGTATCAGATTGATGGGATAGATTGAGCTTGTTGTCCTTGTTTTTTAAACCTTTCTGTGTGTTGTTGAACAAATTTTGAAAGGCAGCATTGGGCCTTGTTACCGGCAGGTTTCCAGTGGTGGCGATGGGGGTGCTGAAGTGGGTGGACTGGACCGTGTCAGAGCCCCGATACTTCCAGCTTCAGACTGATCACACCCCGGTGCACCTGGCGCTGCTGGACGAGGTAGGGGCTGGAGAGCCACACACAGCACACAGTGGTGCGTTGACTGAAGGGAAATGATTTGAACATGGACTAATGCATAGGAGCCACAGTTAGTGCCCCTAGCATGCCATCGGCGTCGAAACAAAACAATATTGAACAAAACATTGTGCCCACACCTGTGGTGCTGTCCGTGCTTGTGCTGTCTGTGCCTGTGTTTCTGGCACATCTGTAAGTGAGCTCAGGACATTCTCATCAGAGCAAGTTGTTTCATTTTTATTTCCAGTTGCCTCTCCCTTTGTCAGTTGTCAGTTGCATGTATTCATGCCTCTGTTTAGACTTTATTTCTATCATTAAAGCAAATAGAAAAAAGTATTTTTTCTGTATTATATGAAAAAAAAGTTAGCATACCTTGCTGCCTATCATCCACTTATATCAATATATTAATTTGTATATAATTTCTTGCTATCAATAACTTTTCTGTTGTCCCTAAAAATTATGTTTATTTTTTTAATTTCAGAATTTTTTTAAAAAATTCTTTATTGTTGAAAGTATTACATATGTGTCTTTTCTTTCCCCCCTCCCCCTTCACCTCCTCCAGCCCTCCACCAAACCTAGGACCTCACCACCCCATTAACTGTGTCCATGGGCCATGCATATATGCATACAAGGTCCTTGGTTGATTATTTATTACCCACCACCCTCAGCCGCCTTCCCTCTGAGATTCCACAATCTATTCCATGTTTCTGGATCAATTCTGTTCATCAGTTAATTTTGTTATTTAGATTCCACATATGAGTGAGATCATGTGATACTTGTCTTTCTCTGACTGACTTATTTTACTCAACATGATACTCTCCAGGTCCCTCCATGCTGTCTCAAATGGTAAAAGATTCTTCTTCTTTTTATTTTTTTTATTTTTTTCTTTGGTGATATAGGGAACCAGGCGGGAGCCCACCTCTAGTAGGAGGACTGCTGCTACGCTCTGGCTTTGCTATCCCTTTTTTTTTTTTTTTTTTTTTTTTGACACGATGGGATACACCCTTTACCCTTAAGCAGGTTTAAGATACACCCATAGACCTTAGGCAGGTAATAAGTGGATTATCATATCAGTAAGGATTTACATGATTACAAGATGGGGACTTTGCCTCAGTTACCATTGTCTCAATTGGATAGGGACTGGTAAGCTCTGACCTTTCAGAGCTTCAAGGTTGACCGCCTTTTCTATTTGTGTGACAATGGTCTGTTTCTGGCATCTCCCCGTTTCTTTTAAAAAAATCTTGCATCTATAGACCAGAAATAAACATATAAGAACAAAAAATGTTTGAGTCCAAATTTCAATTTCCAATAGTTCTGAGTCCAGTTTTAATGCCAAACAGTTCCTTATGTGTATTGCAGCAATTATATTTCAGTTCTGGCTGGTGGAGAAATGGTGGTAATTCAGGTCTTACCCTCTCTGGTTTGGTCCTGGGCAACCTGCAGTGAAACACAGCTGCTGACTGCTAGCATGGCAAGGCATTGTCAGAGTCTTCCATTTCTGGACTGTTTCTCTTCTTGTCTTCATGGTTGGAGCATTCCTGTCAATTCCTCTCTGTTGCAGGAATCTGCATGGTCGTGGAGTTGTTTTCTGAAAATATATAAACCTTTTTTCGGTGAATTTTCCACACCTTTTCTCAGTTTACTATTTCCTTCCTTCACTCTTAGGCGAAAAATACCTCCTTCTCCCGATGTCCCCTGGTCGGGTGCCAGTTTTGGGAACCACTTTCACTTCCTACATGGTTCAGGGTCCGGTTCAGGGTTCGGGTTCTGGAGAAGGGCCACATGCAAATTAAAAGAGACTAGAAGAAATTTAATTTGTTGATATGGGGGGCCAGGCGGGAGCCCACCTGTAGTGGAAGGACTGCCAAAAGACTCTTCTTTGTTACTACTGCATAGTATTCTATGGTGTAAATGTACCACAGATTTTTTATTCACTCATCTACTGATGGGCACTTGGGCTGTTTCCAGATCTTAGCTATTGTAAATTGTGCTGCTATGAACATAGGGGTGCATACCTTCTTTCTGATTGGTGCTTCAGGTTTCTTAGGATATATTCTTAGAATTGGGATCACTGGATCAAATGGCAGTTCCATATTTCATTTTTTGAGGAAACTCCATACTGTTTTTCATAGTGGCTGTACCAGTCTGCATTCCCATTAGCAGTGCACGAGGGTTCCCTTTCCTCCACATCCTCACCAGTATTTGTCGTTTGTTGATTTGTTGGTGGTAGCCATTCTGACAGAGGTGAGGTGGTACCTCGTTGTTTTAATTTGCATCTCAGTAGTGATCAGTGAGTTGGAGCATTTTTTCATATGTCTCTTTGCCATCTGTATATCCTCTTTGGAGAATTATCTAGTTATATCTTTTGCCTATATTTTAATAGAATTGTTTGTTTTCCTTCTGTTAAGTTGTATGAGTTCCTTATATATTTTGGATATTAACCCTTTTTCAGATGTATCATTGACAAATATGTCCTCCCATTAAGTGGGCTCCCTTTTCATTTTGTTAATGGTTTCTTTTGCTGAACAGAAGCCTTTTATTTTGATGTGGCTCCAACTTTTTATTTTCTCATTTTCTTTGGTCCTAGTCTATGTATCCAGAAATACATTGCTATGAGAGATGTCTGAGATTTTGCTACCTATGATTTCTTACAGGGTTTTTATGGTTTCACGACTTCTATTTAAGTCTTTTATCCATTTTTAATTTATTTTTGTGTATGGTGTAAGTTGGTGGTCTCGTTTCATTTTTTTTTTTTTTTTTGTATATGTCCATGCAAATTTTTTTTTAACACCATTTATTGAAGAGACTGTCTTGACTCCATCGTATGCTCTTGCCTCCTTGTCAAATATTAATTGAATGTAATGGCTTGTGTCAATTTCTAGGGTCTCTGTTCTGTTCAGTTGATCTATATGCCATTCTTTTGCCAGTACTAGGCAGTTTTGATTACAGCGGCTTTGTAGTACAACTTGAAATTTGGTATTGTGCTTCCTTCAACTTTGTTCTTTTTTCTCAAGATTGCTGAGGTTATTCAGGGTCTTTTTTGGTTCCATGTAATTTGTTCTATATCTCTGAAATATGCTGTTGATATTTTAATAGGGATTGCATTGAATCTGTAGATTGCCTTGGGTAGTTATAGACATTTGAATGATGTTAAGTCTACATGAACACTGTATATTCTTCCACTTGTTTCTACCTTTTATGTCTTTTTTCATGTCCTGTAGTTTCCCAAGTACAGGTCTTTTGTCTCCTAGGTTAAGTTTATTCCTAAGTATTTTAAATTTTTTGTTGCAGTGGTAAATGGGATTGCTTCTTTAGTTTCTCTTTCTGAAGAATTAATTATTGGTGTATCAAAAAAGCATTCATTTTGGGGTGTTGATTTTGTATCCTGCTACATTGCCAAATTCATTTATTAGATCTAGAGGTTTTTGGTGGAGTCTTTAGGGTTTTTCTTTGTATAATATCATGTCACCTTCGAATAATGAGAGTTTTATTTCCTCCTTTCCCATTTTTTTTTTTAATATACTTTATTGATTTTTACAAAGAGGAAGAGAGAGGGATAGAGAGTTAGAAACATGAGAGAGAATCACCAATCAGCTGCCTCTTGCACACCCCCTACTGGGGATGTGCCCGCAACCAAGGTACATGCCCTTGGCTGGAATCGAACCCAGGACCTTTCAGTCCCCAGGCCAATGCTCTATCCATTGAGCCAAACCAGTTTCCGCTCCTTTCCCATTTGGATGCCTGTTATTTCTTCTTGTCTGATCGCTGTGGGTAGGACTTCCAGTGCTATGTTGAATAAGAGTGGTGAAAGTGGACATCCCTGTCTTGTTCCTGTTCCTATGGGAAATGCTTTTAGCTATTGCCCATTGAGTATGTTGGCTGTAGGTTTATCATAAATGGCCATTATCATGTTGAGATATGCTCCCTGTATTCTCACTTTACTGAGGATTTTTATCGAAAATGGGTGTTGGATTTTGTCAAATGCTTTTTCTGTGTCTATTGGTATGATCATGTGATTTTTGTCTTTCAATTTGTTAATGTGATGTATCACGTTTATTGGTTTGTAAATATTGTACCAGCCTTGCATCCCTGGAATAAATCCCACTTGGTCATGGTGTATTATCTTTGTAATATATTGTGGATCTGATTTGCTAATATTTTATTGAGGCTTTTAGCATCTATGTTCATCAGGAATATTGGCCTGTCATTCTCTTTCCTGGTAGTGTCTTTATCAGGTTTTGGAATTAGGGTAATGCTGGCCTCATAAAAAGAGCTTAGAAGTGTTCCTTCCTCTTGGATGTTGTGGAAGAGTTTGAGGAGTGTAAGTGTTCTTCTTTGAATGTTTGGTAAACTCCCCTGTAAAGCAGTCCAGTCCCGGGCTTTTATTTGCTGTTTTTTTTTTTTTGTTTTTTTTTTAATACTGCTTCAATTTCCTCAGTTTTTATTGACCTACTCAGATTTTCTGATTCTTCCTAATTCTGTTTAGGGAGATTAATTTTTTTTCTAGAAATTTGTCCATTTCACCCACATTATCTAGCTTGTTGGCATATAGTTGTTCATAGTATTTCCTTTAATCCTTTGTATTTCCGTGGTGTCAATGGTTATTTCTCAGCTTTGGTTTCTGATTTTATTTATTTGGGTCATCTCTCTTTGCTTCTTGATGAGTCTGGCAATTGGTTCATCAATTCTGTTTATCCTTTCAAAGAACCAGGTCTTGGTTTCATGGATTTTATGTATTGCTTTCTTAGTCTATGTCATTTGCTCCTGCTCAAATCTTTATTATTTCCTGCCTTCTACTTACTCTGAGCTTCCCTTGTTCCTGTTATTTGAGTTGTAGAATTAAGTAGTTTATTGTTGATTTTTCTTGTTTTTTGAGGTACCCCTGTAGTTCTAGGATCTTCCCTCTCAGGGCTGCTTTTGCTTTTTCCAAGAGATTTGGGGTTGTGGGTTCATATAATTTGTTTTTAGGAAGTTTTTTTAATTCATTCTTGATCCTTTAGAGGCAGTTTCCTTGTTAACCTTTTGTCTGGAAGTCAGCAGGGTATTAAAGTCCCCTACTATGGCTGTATTGTCGTTAGTCTCCCCCTTGAAGTCCTCTAGAAGTCTCTATATGTACTTAAGTCCATATATTGGTGCATATGTTTTACCAGGGTTATATCTTCTTGTTGGACTGATCTCTTTAGTATTATGTAGTGAGCTTCGTTGTCCTTGTGATGGCCTTCATTTTGAAGTCTATTTTATTTTATCAGATATGGGTATTGCTCCAGCTTTTTCTTTTCCATTTTCATGGAAAAAATATTTCCACCCTTCACTCTCATCCTGTGTGTGCCATTTGTTGTGAGATGGGTCTCTTGTAGACAGCATATAGTTGAATCATGTTGTTGTACCCATTTAGAAATCCTCTGTATTTTGATTGGAACATTCAAGCCATTTACATTTAAGGTTATTATTGATAGGTATTTATTTGTTGCCATTTTAATTTTGTATGCCTAGGTTTCTCTCTGTTTCTTCTTATTACAGAAGTCCCTTTAACATTTCTTACAATGTTGGCTTGGTGTGGATATACTCCTTTTGCCTTTTTTAGTCTCCAAAGTGAATTATTTCTATCCTAAACCAGGGTTTTCCTTTTGAGGACTGTGTAGATGTCTGTTTTTATCAGGTGAAGCCAGCTGACTAGCTGGGCTGAGCGATGGGGACCATAGTTGTTAGGATAAGCCGTCTGTTGGCTGTGACAGTGACAGTGGCTCTGTGTGCTGATGATGAGCGCTGGGACCGGCCCTCACGCTCAGCAGGGCTCCCTTCGTCTGTTTGCAGATCAGCACCTGCCACCAGCTCCTGCACCCCCAGGTCCTGCAGCTGCTGGTGAAACTCTTTGAGACGGAGCACTCCCAGCTGGACGTGATGGAGCAGGTGAGCAGGGCGGGGCTGCCAGGTGGCTGAGGAGCGGGCCTTCTCTAACTGACTTCTGTTCACTCTTGTAGCTCGAGCTGAAGAAGACCCTGTTAGACAGGATGGTACACCTGCTGAGTCGCGGTTATGTACTTCCTGTTGTCGGTTACATCCGAAAGTGTCTGGAAAAGCTGGACACTGACATTTCTCTCATTCGCTATTTTGTAACTGAGGTCAGCAACACATTTGTTTCATGTCCCTACTGTATACACTAACAGTGTCCTTTCTGGATTAATTTAAGTGTTTTGTACCTAACCCTGAGAACCATGCCGATGATAGTGACCTGCATTGCCTCTGGGTCCTAGGTCACTGGAGAGCAAGACGCTGGGTGGGGAGGGTGGTTTTCTCCAGACCAACTGGCATTCATTCCATCAGCCTGTGGTGCAGGGCTGCTCGCAGGCATGCGTGCGGAAGCAGTGACCTGCTGTCCTCTCCTTGCAGGTGCTCGACGTCATAGCTCCGCCATACACCTCTGACTTCGTGCAGCTCTTCCTCCCCATCTTGGAAAATGACAGCATTGCAGGCACCATTAAGACTGAAGGGGAACACGACCCTGTGACAGAATTCATAGGTAGGCAGGGTGGGAATGTCCTGCTAGTTTACATGTCATGTTTTACCTCCTGGTTCTGACCTGTTTTCCTCCCGTTTGCAAAGTTCACTGCAAGTCCAACTTCATTCTCGTAAACTGACCCAGTACCCTCCGGAGCCTAAGAGAACATTCCAGACCGGGAGAAACGCCTTCCAGACCAAAGGGGCTCAGTCAGCACCTCGGAAATGCGTTCTTGGGTGAATGGCATTTAAAAAAGGAAAACTGAACAAGATAAGTGGAAAATTGCTGTCATGAGTGGTCCCTCACCTTGTCAGTTCTCCCCCAATAGGGCCTGTGTTCAGGTTACCTCTTGGGATGGGTGGTGGGAATTCAGAACCTGAAACACTTAAATCAGCTGCTTGCAAAGCTGACTTATGCTTTCTTACAAGAACCTGATTAGTTATTTCATTTCATTGTGTTAATTTCCCAAAGACAAATAAAACCTTCCTTTTGAGTTGGAAAGTGTAGACCCTGGTGTTCTGTTTGCATGTGTGAATAAGGCATGCTCAGGCTCCGTTCTCTTGTGAAGTCCATATTTTATTCATCACTTGGGTGATTTGAAACTGCCGTCTCCCCCTCTATTCCCCATCCCTTCCAAGGGGACAAAAGAATTGGTGATAAATGCCACATTATAGACTACAGTTGCCAAAGAGAAAATACCAAACCATCAATCGAAGAAAATGGAGTTCACATAATTAATATCTTGCGATCCCATCTTGGGCAGGAAGATGGTTCGCTGCAGTCCTGCAGGGAGTGTCCTGGGCTGGTCACGCCATCCCTTCTGAGCCTCCCAGGGGATGCGCTTCACCAGGACAGTGCCCTCGCGGTGCTCAGTGCCCTCGCCAGTCCTCCGCAGTGTGATTTGAACATCAGCATGTTTTCTTAAAGATCTGCTCTGGAGACATCTGCCTTAAACGATGGGGTCCCCAAATGAACAGCTGTCCTCGATAGCAAGGTTGTATTGAGCGCCCTTTCCATCTTTGTAGGTGCTGGTCACTATCCGCATCCAGCCGCGCTCGCCCTGTGACAAGGTGGAGCTCGTGTTAGCTCATTGCCCAGCCCGACCCCACTCAGCACACCCGCACCCCCTCCCTCTGCCTGGCTCTCAGCACAGGCTGCACCACCTCACCGTCCAGCTGCCTCTCCCTTCCCCATGTGGGACTCCTGCTTGCAAATACCTTTTGTGAGTATTTCACTTTGTTAGTATGTGACATGAGGGGTGCAGGTACCTGCATGGCAAAGGCCAATTCATGGAACCAAAACATGGGTGCTTTGGACCAGATGACTTAACTTCCTACTCTTTCTCCATGTGCAGTCATTTAATACAAAATACTGATACTGTGCCTGCAGGCATGGCTCAGTGGTTGAGGATCGACCTATGTACCGATTTGATTCCCATTCAGGGCACATGCCCGGGTTGCGGGCTCAAGCCCCAGTGTGGGGCGTGCAGGAGGCAGCCGACCAATAAGAATATATATACAAAATACCAACATGGTGGCACTTCAACATTAATCACTTTCCCCCATTGAATGTTACATTCATTATTGTGAAATGGGGGAAAGTGATTAATGTTGAAGTGCCACAATGTGTCTTAAGCCATTAATGGTTCATACTACTTCTTAAAATTAAAATTCTGGCAATCAGTTTCTCTCCCCTGCATTTGTGACACAAACAAAGGTATGAAAAATTATACAGGATTACTGGGCGGAGCCATAACTGACAGGAAAAAGGACGAGCCGGCTGTGAAAGAATAAGCTAGCTAACCTGCAGCTTCTAGAGCCGAGTCCCCCCAGGCCGTTCCCCCTGAACACACCTGGCAGTGTCTGGAGACGGTCTTGGTTGTCACAACTGAGGACAGGGAGAGCAGCTGCTGGCGTCTGGGGCCAGGGGCCAGATGCCGCTTAATGCACCACGCTGCCCAGGACAGCGACAGCCCCCATGCAAGTTAGGTGTCTGACCCCAAACGTCACTGGCGCTTGCTGAGGGCCCAGCTCCAAGCCACAAAGCCCAGCACCATGGACGTGAGGAGTGCCAGCAGGGACATCTTACCCATGGTTCACCCCACGAGTTCCGGACAATCCAGTACTCGGTCCCATCGCTGACGCCCCAGCCCGCCACGGAAATGATGTGGTTAATGTAGCTCTTCTCCTGGTACTCCGAGTAGATGCCTCCGCTGTAATTCACCATCTTTTCTGTTGCCATTATCCCGCAGCTGGGAGCAAGCAGGGAGGGAATTAGCGTTTTGTGAATCTGAGTAAATCTGACCCAGATAGTGCGGCAAGTGAGCCTGCCTGCTGGCGGCCCAGCCCGCAGCCTTCAGCCCTCACTGCAGCCGGGCCTTTCCACACACTGCCCCTCACTCCCAACCACCCGAGGGCCCACGGCCAGCTTGGCTCCACTCGTGAGAAAACTCCCCTGGCGGCCGTCTGGAGCCTAGCGAGTACAGGGGTGATGTGCCTGCAGCTGCGCCTCCCAGCCGGGGCTGCTCACCTGATGGGGCCGTTGGCGTAGATCTCTGCCATCATCTTCTCCCTGCCGGCCACGGAGCCGTAGTCGCCCACTTTCCAGAGCGTGTAGTTCTGGATGGGCTGACACTCCTTGAACTCCGTGCATGTGCCACACTGGTTGAACTTGTTACACTCTGGGGGTACACACAGTCAGGGAGACCCGCCCTCAGTCATCCGCCCGGGAGCACTCCAGGCCCACCCTGCCCTCAGCTCCCTGACGGACATTAGCGGTTATGGCCATCCCACTGTTTAATCCTGCTGCTCCTTCTGCTGCACAGGAGTCCTAAAGAGCCCAGCCCCAGGCCTCGGTGGGAAGCACAGGACGGACATAATTAGCACATAGTAGGCACTCAAGACAGCCTTTTTTCTTTTCCTTTAATGGCCTGCGGAAGGGCCCTTTCACAAACTCCATAGCTGAAAACAGAGCGTCATTGGATGGTTAGCTCTTAAGATGAGTTAGCTCTTAAGATGCCTCGGGAATAGTCTTATCATTTGGGGGGAAAAAAAACATTTTTTTAATGATTTTGGTTTGAGGTGATATCAAAAATTAGGCTTTAAAAAATGGCAGCCTTCAGTTCTCCACAGCACCCACTGCCTCTGTTCCTGGACCGGACCTGCCTTTTCACAGCTGCGCAAGTTACCTATGTTGCTGTTCTAGTTTCTTATCAGCCCAGGCTCCTCCCCCAGGATATTTGACTCTTTTGAGGTTAAAATGGCTTGATGTGTCCTTTGGTCACCAAATGCCCAGCACAACCCGCAAGACCAGGTTATTGCAAACAGCCAGGCTCCTGTCACACCAGGGTTCCAGGGCCAGCCTAATTCCAGATTAGGCAGAGGGCAGAGTGAGGCCCCAGGGACCACCTGATTCCTGGTTCCTAGCTGTCATTCCACCTCCCTTCATCTGTCCCTCTCAGGTTCTCAGATCCCTGCAGCCTTTATCACTGCAAGACTGGCCCAACCAGTCTGGAGGAATTCCTTGTGGCTGGGCAATATGGCCCTGAAGGCAAGCTGAGGGCCCGAGGTGCGGTGGGGCCTCAATCTGCTGGGTGCCTCCCAGGCCCCGGGGCTAGGCCATCCCTTTTGTAGGAGAGGGTGGTCGGAAAGCACCTGGGCTCCCTCTAACCGCCTCAAACAGCCTGGAACTGGTCCCAGCTCTCTGCTCCAGCTGACAGAGGTAGTGTGGACGAAAGGGGCCACATGCTGACCTGACAGGCTCAGGGGAGGCCTGCGTGGCGGTCTTGCAAACTCAGACCTAAAGTCACCACAAAGGATGGCTGAAATTAAACTTTAACTGAGAGCAGTTGTCCTAGTCCGGTATCTTCAAGGACAAGGTCAACTTATACCTTAACTGAGCCTGTGTCTTTTTGCATCTATAATAACTTACCCTTGAAACAGCTGGGTAACTTCCCTTTTTCTGGAGCCCCTGGGGCACAACCAAATGTGCTGGGTGCCAGGACAGAGACCACAAATTCCTTCATGGTCATGTTAATTGTTCCTGCACCACCTAAGTATGTGTCCATCATTTTATTTTTTTATCTAATTCTAGGGGTTCCATCTCCCCACTCACCCCTCTTTGCTTTATCTATCACAAATGAGTTCCATGTAACCCACCTACATCCCTCCTTTGATTGCAATGAATAAATACAGATGTAACCCCCATTCTTCAGAGCTTTATCTCAATTCGTTGAGGTTCTGCTTCCTGGCATATATCAACAGTTTGGGTCAAACTCACAAAAATTCTTTACAGGTTTCAATGGTTTTTTACGTTAACCGGTGACTTAAAACTGCCAATTAGGGGCTTTCTTTCCATTTCAAAGGGAATAGAAAGAAAGGAATGTGCCAACTCCACGGTTTCCAGGCCCACATGGGTCAGCTGGTCCATGCAGGGCCCCTGGACTCCAGTCCCCCTGAATGCACACGGCCCGGGTCACGCGGCAGGAACCAGACCAGAGCCATGCTCCTCCAGGGGGCCCGCTTGCCGCCTAGGCAGCAGCCTGCCTGTGCTCAGCGCGCTCCCGGGAAACTTACTCTGCCCTGCGTGTGGCCACCTGTGCTGCTCTCATAAAGGCCACACAGCCACCGTGTCAGAACAACCACGGCCGGCCCCGCTGCAGGGTCACAGGCTGGAGATCCCTGCCCAGGGCCTTTCTGGTGCCCTTAGCAAGGACTATGGGCTCCAGCTCCCTGCTCCCCGAAACGCACAGGTTTGAGCCTCCCCTGGCACCCCGACCAGGGAGAGGAGCCTGGATTGTCCTGGGAAGAGGGAGGCAGGGGGAGGGCCTACCCTGGTCCTTGGCCTGGTAGTTGTTGCAGGTCTCGTCGGGAATGCCGTGCCTCTGGGCGTAGGCCCACACCTCCAGGTCGTTGCCCCCCTCGCAGGAGCCGGCCTCCGCGCAGTCGATGACGTGCTGCACAGACAGGAGGGTGGAGGGCCAGGCCCCCTTCCTCTTGATGTTGATCCGATCTGCAAGCACACCGTGGGACTCAGCACCAGCCTGCCTGCCGCTTGTCCCTCAAAGGAGGGCCCTCTCCCGACTGCCCCGAGGAAACCTTGGCCCTCCGGAGCGGTCCCTGGCCCTTCCCTTCGCTGCACTGATGTCTGTGGCCACACCACCCGACGGGAAGGGATGTGGGC